TAGAAACAGGTGAAAAACAGTGGATCCCAACAATTTCCCAACCAGTCAACTTTAACAATCCATCACATATAAGTCCTAAACACATCTTCAAACTCAAGTAAATATTTTTCATTAAACTTACAAGATAAAATATGTCCAAGTACATGATTTCCGCTCACACTTAACTGAGGGAATATCTTCTTCATACAACTTAAAGAATTTAAGTAGTTAAATATACAAACACAACAATGAAATGCATGTAATACCTGTAATGCTGCCTCATAAATAAGTCTCTCGTCATTTTCAGCAGACCTTTCATCACCTATTCCAGAATGATATGCAGATTCACTAGAAAGTGCAAAGTGTGGAGTTATGGCCTTTCCAAGCACCAAAGATGGTGGAAGAATCCTGTTCCCACTATTTTGATACAATAAATGACCTTCGTCATGGCCCCTGATAAAACTGTCACGAATGTAGCCCCTGTCACCGGACATGCTAGGCCCTACTCCCTGGCGATGATTCTTATATGCATCATGAAGATGACTACTGCCTGGGTTATCTTTTAAGTTGCTTGATCTGATGTCTGACACAAATAAAGGAGAAGGAAGAGCCCTTGTTACAGAAGGCTGAAGAGTTGAAGGAAGGGTCCTCTTGAAAGCTTGCTGAGATGACATTTTCTCATGATCTACACCATCAGAGTTTGAAATTCGGGAATTAACTGTTTGTTGCTGACTTGTGTTTCCATTCTGAGCACGGTAGGAAGGTTCATCTCTTCGTGCAATTCTGTTGTTCAGTGCATTGGTACTGGACCCAGGTAGTGTATGAGGTTTGATTTGTGAATGATTATAAACACTAGAAGAACTTAGGTTTGAACTATTTGACCCTCTTGAAGAATTATTCCGCCTACCATAGTCTGCACATAATATTGCAGGTATGATGATAACTAATTTACAAATTATATATATATATATATATATATATATATATATCAAACGGGACCTTTACTAAAGATCACGCACCTGAACTCCTTTCAAAAGTTGTTGCCCATTGCGGAAGAGTTCTCTTTTGAACATCTATCTCCTCCAACTCATCGTCATCTGACGAACTAATATATATAGACTCACCCATGAAATTGAAATAACGATATATGTTCCCTCAGCCGTCCTAGAATCTACAAACAGAACCATAAAAAGTTGTGCCAACCTGTAGCCATAAAGTATCATGAGTATCGAACTCCACATGACAATACCAGATTGCGGTGTGTAGGTAAATAACTCTCTAAAATCACTATAACAGGAAGCACACTGACTATAATACAAAAACAAATGTGTACTACTCCATGAACATATAAATACTAGAAAAATGAAAGTAAAATTAAAGAGACTCGAGATAAATAAGTCACAGTTTGCACACAATCACAATCAACGCAGGAGCAATAAGAACACACTAATGAAGTAAAAAATAAAATAAGGAAAATGGTGGTGAAATTAAAACAAAAAAGAACATGACAAATTAGATAGAAAAAATACAAAAACGTGAACTGCAAATCTAAAGGAAGAAAGAAATAACTCAGTATAAAAGTAATCCTAAAAGATGGGAAGGAATAGAATCAGAAAAGAGGTAAGTTATGTAGAATACTTCCCCCAAAAATACCCAAACAAAGTTCAGGGCGTATAAACGGAATTATGGAGTCAATATATATCATAATAGAGCCAGAACACAATGTGAAAAGACACTTTTGTGACCACTAATGCAGCCATTATGGCTACTGTTAGAAACCACTCCATCAATTGACTGCTATAGATAAGCCTTCCCAAAATGAAAACACCTTCACTCAGATACTCAACTGTTCTATACTCCTTTGATATTAAATCAAATACTCAACTGCCCACAAGCATTTATATTGTAGCAACCCACACAAGGGTAAACCTTGAGTTCTATATAATTTCTACTTTTTTACAATAAACAAATGCAATTAAGATATTATAGAAATGTGGTAATAATCTCATTATTCCTTTTACATGTAAATCAAACCAATACAGGGGAACGGGTAAGAAAAAGAAAATATAACACGACATAAGTATCATTATATTATAAGGGTAACCTATGGAATAAGTGTTGAAGCAAATGAGTTCCACCAAAAAAACTCTCTTACAGATAAAAATGATTATTCACAGAAGATAAAAGATATCGTAAAATAGTAAAACAGTATTATTACTTAGATTGAATGAGTAAAAAATGCCCCCAATAAAGTATTAACAGCTCCACTGCAAATGTAGTATGAACTAAGAAGTATCAATAAGGATAAGCACATGGTTACATCCTTTAAGTGAAGGGATTACTAGAGATGATTAAAAGAACTTTTGCAAATTCATAAACCTACGCAACTCTTTGGTCCAAATTGTACGTTACCTTCATTTCATATCATCCTTTCATCCTCCTTAAGATCTTTCAAGCCAATTAACAATTAAATACATAAGTAGAGTTCAAATTCAAACAATCACTGAAATACCTAAAAAGATTTCCCTCCTGGTAAATAACGTAAAATTGAGTAATACCAAAATCAAATCATTTCTCTTCTTTTTATCTATCAGTCTTCCACCCTATCATTAATCAATTCTAACAAAAGTGCAACGACAATGAAATCCATAATAAATCGAAACTAAAAGAAAATTGCCACTAACATACACACTGCCATTTTGTATAAAAAACCAAACAGCACTACTTTCTCACGTTAAAAAGACAAAGTTCATGTATTTCCACTGTTTAAGAAATCCATGCTCCAAACGACAGTAACAATTGTAAAAGAAGACCAACGGAAATAAACATCCAAAGCAGATCAACCACATTGCACAGGGAATATTGGAACCAAAGTTCAAAGCGTGCAAAATCACCAAAACCTCGACCATTGGGGGAAAAAGAAAAGTTAAAAATATAAATTGCGAGAGAGTAATTGAGGGTTGCCTTTTGAGATGAGGAATGTGTGAAAAATAAATGATCGAACGCAGCAGCTGAGCATTCACAGATTCTAGGGTTCTCCCTATCTTTGCACCTAAACGCAGTAACCGATAGTAAGAGAGTATAAAAACGACATAGGTTGAATATGGTTTGAGTTCACTTACGCAAAATCTGAGAGAAACACGGAATGAGAAACTGCACTTCCATAGCAATGATCTCAGACTTGTGCCCCAATCCTACTAAGTTCAAGTTTTATTTCTTTCCCTCTTTCATAGTATATGTGTGTTACAACTTTCACCTTTACTTTCAAAATCTCATTTGTAAGTCGCAGTGGTTTACTTAATCGCTAATTAATACATATTAATTTATGATTAAACGGAAAAATTATTAAATAAATTTTTATTTAAACATTTATTTCTATCAACCGTGATAAAAATACATTATATATCTGTTAATAAAAGTACTACACATTCACTTATATATATATATATATATATATATATATATATATATATATAATTTTATCTTTATTAAAATTATAAAGATTCAAGTATTTACTAAAATAATAAAGATAAAATTATAATAAAGATATAAGTATTTACTAAAAATATATATAATTGTTCAGTAAATGTGTATAACAAATCAGTTATCAAAACTTATATCCTCCGTTAAAAATCAGGATTTTGAATATTTAGTTTTAGTTGTTTATGTGCCAAATATAAAGTGAATATCTCCCTATCGTAATAAAAGGTAAAGTGATATAAGAAAATATATAATATGATAGATAATTTATGTTAACTTTTCATGCTTTTAACAAATGCATTATAATTTCAACTTTTCCTTTTTTATGAATTTGTGTTGATTTTATGTTGTATATAAGTTACATTGATTTTATTGTGTTGTATTATATTGAAAAAAAATTCAAATATTAATATCGATGTAAATTTTAAAATATGACAAAAAACGATATAAAAAAAATTGAGAAACCAAATTTTTAAACAATTTTGTTTGATACTACTGTCACAACATTATATATTTATAACGAAGTCAATCACAAATGGACATAAAATAGACAATAAATAATATGTATTAATTATTAGCATATGACTCAGTTCAAAAAAGTTGATAATTAAGACAATCACATAATTAACAATTAGTTTTTTCAACATTAGTTTGTATGTTTAAAATATTATGTTTTTTTAACTTTTCATAATTTAATATTTTAATATAAAATATTTAAATAATCGTTGAAACAAAATAACTTTTGTTAAACGTAAAATTTCATAATTAATTCAAATGATCACAAAAATAATTACATACCATTTTAAATGTATAATTTTAATTAAAATCACATCATAAATATATATAATACATAATCATTCAAATATAATTTGTATTAAAATGTTTTAGCTTAAACATAAGCTTGCGGTAAAACTTGGTATAAATGCCGGGGAGGGGGCCACAGTATGATCAGTAATTCAAAATCTGCCAAGAAAACTATACACTGCCACTAAAGGAAGGGCTGTTGCACAAGGTCATATTATCATAAACCATATTACAATTAGATAAGAATATTTACAGACAGCCTTCAGCAATATAAAAGCATGGAGGACAAAATTGCCCTTGTGGACTCAAAACAGATCATATTACCACTTGGATCAACCAAGCCTCTCCTACCAAAAAAGTCATACCCCTCCTTCAGAACAACCATTCCAACTCCATGCCAAATCTCCCAAAACAAAACAAAACTTCAAATTATCCATCCATCATATGAGAAGAAGAAGCAAAAGAGGTCTTGAGTCTAGACCATGAAGAGATATTTCAGATCATCCACTGTAAGGCGAGTTCCAGACCCACTAGCATGGTCTTCCCCAAAAGCAGATGCAACCATTTTTCTCTTTTCCTCCTGTCAAATGGTACAACACAAGATCATAATGAGAATTTATTTGACAGATGCAATCTATCTTCATCTCAATCACACAAACTCCCCCCTCCCGATATATATCAAACCCTACTAAATAAATAACCTTTTTAAAAAAACATCACCTCATGTGCTAATTTTGACTTTTCTCCTTGAACCATAATAGAACTTCTGTTAATTTTGCAGGCCCAATTTTGCTTAATGAATTACAAGAGTAAGCAAATATTAAAAAGGAGAGGTTCAAGGTGAAAGAGAAAACAATTAAGAACTTGTAGAGTCCGATTGGCTGTTAAGCCTCACTCACTACTGCTCACCTAAATCCGAAATGGCCACCATGTATGAACTCATTTTGGCACATACAAGAAAATTAAACTGGCGGATATTGTACCTGTAGAGACAGTATCCGATCTTCAACTGTATTTTTTATAGTAATCCTTGTCACTGTAACTGGACGAGTTTGTCCAATTCTATGGGCTCGATCAATAGCTTGATCTTCAGTTGTTGGATTCCACCACGGATCCAAAAGAATAACATGACAAGCAGCAACCATATTCAAACCAAGGTTTCCTGCCTTTAGTGACATCAGCATAACAGTTATCTGAAACATATTTCAATTAATCAGGCAATTGAGACACTTAAAACACAGTAGATAATTGAAGTCCAAGTAGAAGCAAAATATACCGATTAAAATTGCAACAACATTATTGATATAGCCATTATTAAGAGGCTTAAATTTTATACCACTTAGTCTACTAACAATAGTTTCTCATTGATTTGTGCCATTTATTGATTCGCATATAAAAGTTACAGCTATAACAATGTTGGGAAGGGCCAAACCTCAGGTTCAGTATTGAAATCCCTAACAGCTTTGTCCCTTGCACCCAGAGTCATCCTACCATCAAGTTTCCTGTACAGTATACCA